TATATATATATATATATAGGAGGGATCGATCCATATCTTTTTTTAACAATGAAGGCGCTAACAATTTCACTAAATGTTCAAAACATAGTTTGTTCATTATTTTGTACACAAAAAAATTATCATTTTTCATTCTTTTAAATAACTGAAATTGCCCCCGAGTCTTTCTGCTTCTCAGAATGGGTCTAACATTAAACCTCCTCATTTTTCGTTTCTTTCTCTTGAGTAAAAGATATACACTTACTATTGACAAGATCGCGGCAATTGTTGTTTTTATATCCATCAAAAGAAAAATCAAATTTCACAATGTGACGTTTAAGTTTATCTGGTGACATTACCTTTACACCATTCGGATATATCCGTCAAAGTTCGTAGTATGGCGCTTTCTGATTGGTCGGAGGTAAGACCGCAACGCAGAAAGTTGAAAATAGCCAACTTGTTACCTTGCCTTACCGAAGTTACCGCAAGTGTGTTTTCTCAATGCTTCAACTTTCTCACCTTACCTTACCTCGTTACCTTGCGTTTTTATAAACTAGGGGTTAAGATTTCAAAAACAATACAATTTTCTCACAAAACAAATAAACGAAATTAACTGTACATTGCATTCAATTTCAGGGCTTGTTAACTGACACCTCTGTTAACCTTACGAAACACAGACTTCAAGCTTCGTCACCTGTTACGAAGAGAGACCTAAACTCGTTCGCGGATCAGTTGAACACAGTGGCTCGCCAATTATCGGATGCTCCCAGTGCCAGGAAATTCGACAGTCTTGCGTTCAACGTGAGAAAAATTGTACAACATGAGTTTCACACGCTCAACCAATTCAGAGATGGAATCCAATATAAACTGACAACATTGGAAGTTCTGCTTAAACTCCTCAATAAAAAGGTTGACCAATTATTTGCGAATTTAAAGAGGATACAGTATTTTTTCGATGATCAGGGGAAGGCAATAAGTGAGCGGGTAAGTACTGAATTATTATATGGTATGAAATGATTTATTTGTGAACTGAATGTGCAAGTTGGACAAATAAAAACGAAACATATTTCTCATGGTTGTCGTTTTCGAAAAAATCACTTGAAATTGTCGATTTTTATTTTGAATTGAATCATTTGCTGAGTGAAGTTTCTGAAACTATGATCTTCGAGAACTATGGTCATATTTCTAGATTATTTCCGGAAAGAGGAAACAATAGGTACCATAAACTCGGGAAAGTTGATTTTCAAATCGAAATTTTAAGATTCATCTGAAATATGAGCACCGAATCATCCTCATTTCAAATAAGTTCGGTGTATTCGATCACTGTAAAACCCAACCACGGATTGAACAGCTTTCACAGATAATCTCGGGTTGTATCCGGAGTGCATCAATTATAACTGATTAAAATGTACGCGGAATCTGCAGAATTTCGTTGAGCTGGAACGTTGAATGAAGGATTTTGTTCCGAGAAATTTCAATTCAAAGTATACCTAGTCAATTTATTTTTTAAATTACGGGATTGGAGGCATTTTGATGGATTTAGCTTGGTGTGTGAGATATATACTCGTATGTTGAAATTATTTCCAGAGAAAGAATATGAAGATGTAAACGGAATACTTAGTTTCGAAATACATGTTTTGGGATTTACGTGAAATTCAAGCACCGATTTATTATAATTTCAATGGCTCAAACAGGTCTCGTGCAGTAACACTCTGCAAACGCTGCGTAGTCTTCCACTATTCCTCGTTTTCATGCATTGGGAGATATAATCCGATGTATTTCCAAATCTCAAACAAAGCTAGGGGACAGGCGACACCACGTTCTAAAGGTGATCTATTTTTTATCCCAATGGTCTAAATTAGTGGTTGATTCAAGCCAATTCTTAAAACGTTCCACTATTTGTCCCTGAAATGATTTTGACGCTACACTCAACGCGACTTTGGGTTCAACCTTGATGGTCCTTGGCAAATAGACTTTGAGAAAGTCGACTTTGACATCGAAATAATCAGAAGTCACGTGAATTATATGACTTTGTGATCACGTAAATCGTCCTTGGATGACCCTCAACCAGATGATCTCTGGAGCTTGTTTTTGGTTCAAGTTCTGATGACTTTCAGCAATGTCGTTGGTGAGTTTGATGGTGGGCAGTTTCTCTCCTCGCTCTTTGAAGTTCATATTAAAGGGGGCTACTTGGTGGTTGCGAATAGGATGAATTCACGGAGCATAGTATACTTTCCTGTACAGATTTCGAGGATAGTGTGAGGTTAATTGATAGTGCATAATGTTGTGATTTTGATTGATCGAATAGTGTAAGTCCATACAATTGAAGTCTTTCATCAGTCAAATTCAAATTATGTATGAATCCAAGGATTTCGAGGAGATATACAGGACCTGAACGTAGTTCAGGTGTGTAAAACTGTTATTCCAAAATAGTGGGCACTAAATTTCCAGAAATGACTGACGTTTTTGCTTCAATTTGTCTCTTGCGGTAGCGTACGGAAATTATACTAAACGGATGAGAAAAAATAATGATGAAATATATAGAATAACAATCTTGACAACAATGTTTTCGTTTTAATGCTATAATAGTACCTACTATTATGGAATTGTACTATATATACAAACATGAAAAACTTTTCAACAAAACGCAAAAATTTCCCTCAGTGGATTCTTTCACATCAAACTTATAGCTTATAGCAGAATTTATAGCTTTGAAGAAGATAGTTGTGAATGTGCAGAACGAAAACCAGATCGACTTTGCTTGGGCATTATGACCAGCGCAAACTGGAAGTCTCGAAGTACGATAATATCCAAGTTTCGGGGCTGTATGCAATGTTGGAGGTATAGATTCACCAAAGAAATTACCCGATATTGCGAAATGACAAAATATGAATGATAGGGTTGAAAACAATTTTTCGAAACCACAGATTGCCACCTCAGTTAATCGAATATTGAATGGGAGAGGACAGATGAAACTGTTCGATACTTGAAAGTCCATAACGTATCTAGAAACACTTCATTGTTAGAGTTTCACTGAACAGTATTACATACACGCAGCACATGTTTCGCTATACGATAGTTTCTTCAGTCGTGTCCATACACGTCTATAGACACCCCTAGAGAAGCTATTGTATAACAAAATAGTTACATTTTTGAAAGACGATTGGTTCCATCACAACTTTCATCTCATCGATCATCCCTATCATCTCATGATAGGGATACTCGATGTATTTGCGAAATAATTTTCTCAATTTTTTTCCAGCAACATTTTGACAACACATATTGAAATTGACTAGTATGATTGAATCGTATCATAAAACATATTGGAATTTAAAAATTTTGAAAAACTGTTGAAAGTACCTTACGTAGTGTATGCCGATTTCAAATATATTCTGAAACCTAAACACACAAGTGATTTGGACACTACTCGTCATTTCACAAAAAATCATTCATCCATGAGCTCTATTTGCTCACAAACCATATTCATTGCCCTTTCGATGACTCAGCCTCCAAATTCGTTTTATATCATCATTAATGTATCCTAATAAATATTGTACCAAAAAAGTCATCAACATATTTGAAGAAAAATTAATTATTAACTGCTGATGTGTGTGGCATTTGTGTGAGACTCTTCGAGTGACGTTAAAGTGAGAGATGATTTTCATCTGATGGAAGAAAAAACAACGTGCTGCATATTCTCAATATAATCTGAATTTCAGGTTACCCCGATTATGAAAGAGCAAAACTTGTATGGTCATTATTCAGTTATGAAACATCGAGAGACTATCTAAATCTGTATTTGAAATCAATTGTACTGATTTTTTGCGGTAAATTCGAAAAATTTTGGGTATATCTAAATTTAAATTATATCCAGCCAACTATTTGACCTCTTAGAGTCATTTTAAAGATTCCATACTCAAATATACCAGCACAGAATTGAAATTTATCACGATAACATTTTTTCAAAAGCATATATGCGATGTCAGCCAGTGTTTTGAAATTTCTGCCATATTACGATGGAAATTAACCATCACTGATTTGGATAATAATAATAATGGTCTTTATTGGGTGGAATAGAATATAACATCCAAAAGGCGAAATTCAAAACAGCAGTATAGAACACTACAGGTTTTGAATTGAAGGGGTAATATTTTTTAGGAGTGAATAATTTTTTGGGAAAGAAAGTTTTTGGCTTTCTACTACTCCATCTTGATACAAAAAAAGAAGGATGAGGGAGTCTTCCAAAGAAAGGAAGGAAGTAACTCTACACATGGATGTGTAGATCATGCAAAGAAGTAACTTTCAGACACAAACTGAAAGAGTAGAGAAAAGTATCTTCTGTATAATTCAGTGTTCATATAGAAGTATTTGTTTCGAAAGAATTTTTTCTTTCGTATAATTCAATGTATATATGAAAGTAACTGTTTCAGGAGGACTTTCTCCTACATATGGATCAATTATTGGGTATTTAAGTTTTTTACCCAGTAGTTCAATTTTCAATTTTTGCCTGAAAATACCTATTTTAAGATGTCTAATGAGGGAGACGTTTATTGTGAACGTTGCATATCTGATACGTAAATGAAAAATCCATGAGTGTGTATCTGAGGAGTTGATAACCCTTTGTGCCGTACATTCAAGTTGTGTATGTCAGTCCGAAAAGTAATTTTTTTCACTACTCACCTGAGAAATTGCTATTATTTACTCCATTCCCCTAACGAGAAATAATATTTGTCACCCTTGGTAAATAATGATATGAAAAAAACACCTAGGTAAATAATGAGAACAATTCTATAATTTTAACTACAGGCGGGGGGTACACATCATCTCTAAATCATCGTCACTTGAATTTTCACCCATTTTTCAATTGATTATATTGACGTTTCACTTATATAGATCTTTCAACTGCTTCAAAATGACATCTAAATTTGAATTAAAACCGCATTTGGCAAACTGACAGCAATAATAATTATTGTACAGTGTTTGGTTGTCATGGAAACGCCGGCAAACGTCTTCATGACCTAAGTAGATGTTGCGCGCTAATCATCGACATAGCGTATTCAACATGGAAACTGTACTGTTTCAATTTGACATGCTACAATTCATAGCTGCCTTGGGTTATCATATAACCAAGGAAATTTGTTTCTCACTATAATGCAGAATTGAGAAATTCTTAGTTCTGAACATACAGAAGCGATGAGAGAAGTGGAACATTGAAATATATCAAAAATGCAATGAGATATCTCCTAGATTCATATCAAAATTTGACACAAATGTTCACATAAATAAATCCAGTCTGATTAGAAACACTCTTTTTGATATTCCGATATATTCAACATATGTTAGTATGTAGTTAGTAGTGAAAAAAATTATATGTATACCTCGGCTGATAAAGCTATTATTTACCTCGCACATTATATCCCTTGGCGCTACGCGCCTCAGGATATAAAAATGCTCGGTAAATAATAGCTTATTTCTCACCCCAGGTATATAATATACTATTATTATATGAATGAGTCGGAATTTTTTTGCAGATAACTTTATGATAGAAACACGCTGAGTGTAACGACCTTCGGTTTTCCATATTGAGCCTACAAGTTTCTGACAGCTTTGTTCCTAATTGTGAGGCTTGGTCCATAAAGTACATATCCATAGTTCAAAGATGAAAGAACGAGACTGTCACATAGAGTAATTTTTGTGTTTTTAGGTAGGAATTTTCGATTTCCGTAAATCAGATTGAGTGAGAGGTAAACTTTCTGGATTAGTATAATCACATGGGAATCAAATCGGAGATCACTGCTTATAGTCACCCCAAGATTTTTTGCTTCTTTCACAATTTCCAATACATTAGATATTGAGTTTTTGTTTTACAATATCTCTGTGATTTTTCGATCAAATATTAGTATTTTTCACTTAGATGTATTATTCATTAGGCACATATTTTCAGCAAAAGATGAAAATGTGTCGTGATCATCACTAAACCGCCT